AACACGTGTCCTTTATTTTGTACATCAGGAAGGGGGGGCTAGGGAGGGGAAGTGGAAGGAGGTGAGGGAGGAATGGGGGACGAACCCCCGATGGGGAGGACTGGGCTGGCTCTGCGGGCTTCTGGGGGTGGAAGCTCTCCTGCAGCCCCCCAATTGCTCCCTCTCCCCAGATGGCAGCCTGCGGCGAGTGCAGCTGGGCTGATGGCCGAGTGGTGTGATGTGCCCAGTGTGAATACTCCGGACAATCCCATCCAGGACTGCTTTGCAAGCGGGGCACCCCTGAGAACTGTCTGTCTGGGGTGGGGGTCGGGACTCTTTAAGCACAGCCCTTGGCTAGCCTGAGACAGCATCTCCACGCTCTAAGGTCTCCTCTGATGCCCTGGTGGCACTCAGGGTCCACTTAATGTGGACATGCTAGTTTGAATTAGCAAAACGCTAATTCGAACTAGTTTTTTAGTCTGGATCTGTTAGTTCGAATTAGCTTAATTCGAATTAACTAATTCGAACTAAGCTAGTTCGAATTAACGTTGTAGTGTATACATATCCTAATATATCAACATAAAAAAAAGACGAAATTATGTGACCCTCCCAAGGCTGCATTTATCTGCCCCATAACAGCTTCCTACGACATCAATCTCGTCTGATTTAATCTTGGGCCAGCCACTTCGTCTTTGTTAAGTGGAGCAGGACCAATGTGCAGAGATCTTATCCGGCCACTCCGTGCTCATGAGACCTCCGGATACCGTTGTCTCTGTGTCCCACCCTCCAGTGTGGGCAAGACAATTCTCTGCCTACAGTTGGCAGGCGCTGGGTGCAGTAGCTGCATCGGGACTGGCAGGGACATCTTCCACACCTGGGTAACAGACGATTGCTTGGAAAACGTGCACAAGAAGATCCTCCCTGGAGAAATGCACTTAGTGACCATGGTATAATCCTCCCTGGAGAATTGCAGTTTGTGACCATAAGACACTGAGATTCTGAAGTAAACACGCGGTTCGGGAGGAAGGCAGGTAAGGGACGGCTGGAGGAAGACAGGTAAGGGATGGCTGGAAGGATTCACTGCTCATTGTCACCATTGATTGATTAGACAGCATTATTCTTTTTCTCTCCCACTCTCGTCTCTCCCTCCTTCCCCCGCATGCTGTTTCCTGACAATTCGTGGCCAGCCAACACCCTGCCCCATTTCTGCTTCTCTCTCTTTGTCTGTCTGTCCAGCTTTCTCCCTGGGTTAAATTTTCTCTCTGCCACTTGCTGTCGGTCCAGGCTGCTCCCCATCTCTGGGCCTTTCTCCATGTCTTTCTCTGTCCCCAGCATCTCCAAAGCCACTGTGTGCGGATGGTCCAGGGCTGGAGGCTGAGGAGGGGCTAGAACAAGCAGTGAAAACACAGAGCTGGGAGGTCAGTCACCAATTTCCCCATCTGCTCTCTCCCAACAGCACAGGAGTGTGCGAGAGAGAGGCAGCGGGGGACACCAGCATCCTGCAGCAGTGGTTCCAAGATGGCCGAACTGAGCAGAGAGACCCTGCCACCAACAGCCTCTGGCTGGGATTACGAATATGAACATAACGACACTGAATGCCCAGAGTTTGATGCCCCTGAAGTGACCTTTATCAGCATCACTGTGATCATCAGCGTTTTGGGGCTGGTGGGGAACGGGATCGTCCTCTGGTTCCTGGGCTTCCGCATGAAGAGGAACCCCTTCACCGTCTACGTCCTCAACCTGGCCGTCGCCGACACTGGCTTCCTCCTCTACTCGCTTGCCTATCTTGCCGCCTACATGGTGGAATATCTGTTTTGTGACAATACTGACTTTCATTACATATTATTTCTGATTACAATGCTGTGTCTGTGGACGTACAGCACCAGCCTGTACCTCCTGACCGCCATCAGCACGGAGAGGTGCGTGTCCGTCCTCTGCCCCATCTGGTACCGATGTCGCCGGCCAAGGCACTTGTCTGCCATCGTGTCTGCCCTGCTCTGGGCTCTCCCCGTCCCACTGTGCTGTTCTATGAGCTTTTTTTGTCTTCTTCACATTAATGAAAACTGTTTCACTTCCATCCTGTACGTCTTTATTCTGAATGTCCTGATATTCTCCCCCATCATGGTTCTCTCCAGTCTGACACTGTTCATCCAGATGCGATGGAGCTCCCAGCAGCGCCCGCCCAGCAAGCTCTATGTTGTCATCCTGCTCACCGTCCTCTTCTTCCTCCTCCTCACTCTCCCTCAGAGTGTTACGCATTTTCTTTTCTACCTGGGCAAATCTCGGCCCACTGAGATGTCTTATGTGCTGGCCTGTGCAAGCAGCAGCATCAACCCCTTTATTTACTTTCTAGTCGGGAGCTACGGGAAGCGGCGATTCTGTGGCTCTCTCAAACTCGCACTCCAGAGGGTATTTGAAGAGCAGAGAGATTCCGGAGAAGACAAAGACCCGCCTCCCAGCACAGACCCAATGGAGACAGTTGTTTAAAGTCCTTCAGCAGCCAGCCTGGGAGACCTTTTCTGGGCATGGAGATTTCCCTTGATCCCAGAATCAAAGCACAGAGAAAGGGAAAGGACCTTCTTAATTCTTCCCCACCCCTGCCCTAGTGTGGATCCCCAGGGCTCATTTGCTGCTCTCAACCACAATAGGTCTCCAAGCAACTGATCTGGTTCTCACTGGAATCAGTTAGTGAGTCTCAGAGGGTCACTGTGTTAGCCTGTGTCTTCACAAACAACTTGGAGTCTTGGCATCTTAAACACTTAGGCTGTGTCTAGACTGGCAAGTTTTTCTGCAAAATCATGCGATTTTGTGGAAAAATTTGCCAGCTGTCTACACTGGCCGCTTGAATTTCCAGAAAAGCACCGACGATCTCATGTAAAATCGTCAGTACTTTTCTGGAAATACTATGCTGCTCCCGTTCGGGCAAAAGTCTTTTTCCGAAAGATTTTTGTATAAAAGGGCCAGTGTAGACAGCACAGTACTGTTTTCTGCAAAAAAGCCCCGATTGCGAAAATGGCGATCGGGGCTTTTTTGCGGAAAAGCGCATCTAGATTGGTCACGGACGCTTTTCTGCAAAAAGTGCTTTTGCGGAAAAACATCCTGCCAATCTAGATGTGCTTTTCCGAAAATGCTTTTAATGGAAAACTTTTCCGTTAAAAGCATTTCTGGAAAATCATGCCAGTGTAGACATAGCCTCACAGGTTTATTTGGGCTTGAGCTAATCCAAGCTGAGATTTGAATCATTCCCCTTTACACCCATGGCAATAGTACAAAGTAACCCACCCCCGGTCAGATCTCAGTTCATCTATCAGCATTGCCAGGTTGCAAGGGAGGGCCTCTCACTGGCCATTGTAGAGAGGGAGAGGAGAGCA